CCCAGGTTCATTTACTTCCTGTTTCATAATGAGGATAGTGAGATAAAGTTCTCTAGCAAGATTAGCAGAGCTTAGCTCACCAAATGATAGTTAGATCATTGTCATCCTTGTTGATAATGCAATAATTTGTGTTTTAGGTTAGATCTGGAGAAGAAAGAAAAAAGACCGGTATAGCAATGGGGCTGATCACTGATCCTTCCATCTTGTTCCTAGATGAGCCCACAACTGGCTTAGACTCAAGCACAGCAAATGCTATCGTTTCACTCCTGAAAAAGTAAGTGCTATCGGAATATGGTTGTTTCATTAATTTAATATCTGGTCATGTCTATGTACCATGTATTCTTGGCGAAAGGGATTCAGAAATGAGCAATATAATTTGTTCCTTCTTTCTTGAAAACAAATAGCAGGAAGTGATTAAAAGAAAAAAGTTGAAACAAGAGCATATGGAAAGATGGCCATGGTGGTAGTGGGGAGCTGATTTAAATAGCAGGAGGGTCAGGGAAGATCACAACATGTGACGCATGAGCTGGGAGTAAATGAGTGAGACCAGCTGTATCTGCAGAAGAGAGTTCTAGTTGGAAGGAGTGACCTAGTGACCCCAAGATAGAGCATGCTTGATGTGTGTGGAGCATCAGAGACTCTGTGACCCAGTGACTCTGAGGAGTGGCTATTGGTTTCTGCAGTGTCATAACAATACCACAAGCTGGGGTATGAGCAACAGAAATTACTTTTCTTATAGCTTTGGAGGCCAAAAGTTGAGGTCAAAGTGTCTGCAGGGCTGTTTCCTGTGAGGCCTGTCTCACTGGCTTGTAGATGGCCATGTGTGTCTCTTCATCTTAATCTCCTCCTAACTGGACACCAGTAAGATGAGGACCATCAACAATCTCATTTAACCTTACTGCCCTCTTTGAAGACTCTATAGACAAAGGAGCCACATTTTAGGGTACTGGGGTTAGGATTTCAACATATGAATTCTGGGGAGACCACATAGTTAGAATATAATGTGAGGTAGAGTTGGGCTGATGTCACGCTGCATAGACCTCATAGACAACTGTCACTAAGGGATGTGAGAGCATTTTGAGAGTGTCAGAGCAGAGCAATGGCTGTGCAGTCAGTCCAGGGTGAGGGAAGGTTACCAGGGAGGAGCTGCTCATGGTGAGGAGAAAAGGGTATGGACCAGGACAGGGATTGAACCAGGATTCTCCTGGAGAGGTGGAAAGAAGACCTTGTGTTCTGGATCTGTTTTTAAGGGGAATCAACAGGATTGACTCAGATATTGGATCTGGGTTATAAGGATTGGGAGAATAACTCCTAAGATTTGGACTTGAATAAAAGGAAGAAGAAGTAAATGAAATCATATTTTCTTTTATCAAGAAAGCAGCTGTATTTAAAGAAAATAAAATTATGGCATTTGCAGGTAAATGGATGGAGTTGGAGACTACCATGCTAAGTGAAATAAGCCAATCTCCAAAACCCAAAGGCCAAATGTTTCCTCTGATATGTGGATGCTGAACCATTATGGGGAGGAGGGACAGGGAAGGAATGGAGAGAAGATACAGGAAGATGGGATAATATTCCAATTGTCCTGTTTTGCTTATGAATAAGGAATCCTTAGCTACTTCTTTTATATGTTGTGTTGAAATCCTTAATCATAGGGTCTGACTCTCTTGGAGGCAGAATAACTTAGGGTATCCTGATAGCATATGCTAGTTACTTAATC